GATCCCTGGAGCTTGCTGGTGAGTCCATCTACGTGGTCAAACGGCTCCAGGTTCAAGAAGAGACCCTGTCTCAAAAAAATAAGTTGAAGGAGCAACTGAAAAAGACACTGAATGTTTTCTCTGTTGTCTCCTGTTTCTATTTTTCAGGCTTACACTTTTGACAGTGTATTTACTTGGCTATATTTTAATTACGATGTTAATTTTACTTCTCATTTCTTAGTTTAAGAACTTATTTAATTATTTTGTTGGGGTTTCTTGTTGTTGTTGTTTTGTTTTTGAGACAGAGTTTCTTTGTAGAATTGGCTGTCCTGGAACAAGATGTAATTTTTAATAATGTGCATTATTTTATTTTTAATAAAGTACAAAATTAACACTGTGTTTATCTACTTGGATACATCATGTGTTGGGTTAGCAAGGGTCAGAGGCAGGAGATTCCTGGATCTGAACTTATGTACAGGAGGTGTGAGTTACCCGATGTGTTACAAATTTTTCCATTATTGTGATTTTTTTTTCCTAATCTCTTACTGTTACCACACACCTTTCACAGAAAAAAAGACCCAGAACCTGATCCGAAGGTCCTATCTGGATGCCATTACCGACAATGACATGGACACACCTCAGATTTTCTTGATCTGTAAATACAGTTTATTTGATTAGGGTTTTCCAGTCCTACTGGACACCCTGATTAAGGATCTCCCTGTTCAAAGGTGCCATAATTTTATACTGTCTAATGTTACAGAGGCAGGCATTGAAAGAAAGCACAAGTCAATCTTTCTGGAAGCCAGGAAGGATGGACTGTTAGCAACTGTTCCTGTAGTGGGCATACTCAGGGACAGTGATGTGGAGAAGCTGAAGAAGAGTTTAAACCACCATCCAGTCCTTTTTCAAGTGGATGACAAATCCCTGGAGTTCATGGCTAAGGATTTCCAAATGCCTCTTGAACAATTGAAAAGAAAACTCAAGGTTGTTTCCTGTCAACCTAGGAACCTGCCACAGAGGGCCTCTGAAAGCCTATGCCCTGCAGACTATCAAAGCAGATGCTGAGACTTATGGGCAACTGTTGGGCAGAGTGCATGGAATCTTATATAAGAAGTGGGAAATAGTAAGAGCTGGAGAGGATGGGAACCACACAAGGAGAGCAACAGAACCAGAAAACTTGAACACAGGGAACTTCCCAGAGACTCATACTCCAACCAAGGACTATTCGTGGAGATATCCTAGAACCCCTGCACAGATGTATCACATGATAGTTCAGTGTCCAAGTGGGTTACATAGTAATGTGAAGAGGGGACTGCCTCTGATATAATCTGATTGGCCTGCTCTTTGATCACCTCCCCCTGAAGGGGGAGCAGCCTTACCAGGCCACAGATGACAATGCAGCCACTCCTGATGAGATCTGATAGACTAAGATCAGAAGGAAGGAGAAGAGGACATGCATGAGGAAGGGGGAAGGAGGGTGGGATTGGGAGGAGAGGAGGGAGGGGCTTATGGGGGAATACAAAATGAATAAAGTGTAATTAATAGTAAAAAAATTAAAAGAAGAAACATGTTAGGCAAGCAAGACAGTAAATACACACTGAGCACAAATTGTGGTCTTGGGCTTTATCCTAGAGAAATGAAAATTTATAATCATATAAAAACTCACAAAGAAGGAACAACTCTTATGTATTTCCATGGAAGAATGGTTAAACAAATGGTAAAAAAAAAAAAAAAAAACAAAAAAAACAACTCCAATCTCCTTATTTGTTGAAAAATGAGGAAGAGGAAATATTAGGAGAAAAAGTTTGGAAATATTTGGAGAAAGCTGGCTTATATATTACTGGTGGGGGGCAGTGCTTTCTGAAAAATGTATTACTTGTTGTCTTATTTCCTTGACACAGTGGTGGAATATGCAAAAGTTCTCCTTAGAGAGAGATATTCAAAAAACTAGCTCAAATTCAACTCATCCACACCTACCAACAATTATGAAAACAAATAGTGAATATTAGGAAGTCATCAGATAGATTACTCTTCTGACATCTTTTCTTTACACTAGCCAATGAAATGCCACCATCAGAAAACCTAAGAAAAAGATTTCATGAGTATTAATATGTCAGAACCTGACAATATCCAATCCTTCTTCAGTTCTCTACAATCCCCAAGAGGAGCTTCCTCTCCATCTTTCAACTCCACATGCATGCTTGAATACACACATATACAAAAATAGAGAGAGAGAGGGAGGGGGAGAGAGAGGGAGAGAAACAGACAAAGAGAATTCTGTGTCACATCTGCACTTCCTTAAAATGATTTCCTATTGCAACTTCAACCTCTCTGGAGCTTGTATACAATTATTTCCTCCTTTAGTGTATCCTGTTCTGATGTGTTCATTGTGTCTCACAAATTATACACACACACACACAGTGCATAAAGCACTTGCCATAAAGAAATGAGGAAAAGAGCTCAGTTTCCCAAACCCACATAATGCTGAGTGGGCTTTCACCACCTTATACTCCCATGCTCAAAAGGTAGAGACAGTGGAACCATGGGGCAAGCTGGCTAGCTAGACTGCAGAGTCTGCAAGAGCTGGCTACAGTTGAGACATCTTCCTTGAGGTAAAAGATAGAAAGCAATTGTAAAAGAGGATTCACAGAGGACCTCTGAAAGTCTCTGCCCTGCGGACTATCAATGCAGATGCTGAGACTTATAGGCAACCTTTGGGCAGAGTGCAGGGAAAGAAATGAGAAACAGTAAGATCTGGAGAGGACAGGATCTCCACAAGGAGAGCAACAGAACCAAAAAGTCTGAGCACAAGGGTCTTTCCTGAGACTGATACTCCAACCAAGGACTATGCATGGAGATGACCTAAGACCCCTGCACAGATGTAGCCCATGGCAGCTCAGTATCCAAGTGGGTTTCATTGTAATAGGAACAGGGACTGTCTCTGACATGAATTGATTGGCCTGCTCTTTAATTACCTCCCCCTGAGGGGGAAGCAGCATTACCAGGCCACAGAAGTAGACAATGCAGCCACTCCTGATGGGACCTAATTGACTAGGATCAGAAGGAAGGAAAAGAAGACCTCCCCTATCAGTGGACTTGGGGAGGAGCATGCATGCAGAGGGTGGAGGAAGGGAGGGATTGGGACTGGAGGAGGGAGGGAACCACAAGGGGGATAAAAAGTGAAGAATGTGTAATTAATAAAAAAAAATTTTAAAAACAGGATTCAACATGAGCCTGACTTGCCTACACACATGTGAACACAAACACTACACACAGACACATTTTAAATGTAAAATAAGACTCAGGAATTAAATAACTATCACAAGCCACAGAAAGCACAGAAACTTAAAAGATTCATGATCCTTCTCTCAAAGTTATATAAGCAGGCAGCATTCTCAGGGAGGAGATTTCATACTAGCTGAGGTGCCTACAAATCATGCAGAGGGCCCCAGGGCTGCAGCTGTGGTGACTCACTGCCATGCTGGGATGCACTTTTCAGGGATGCAGCTGCCTCTGAGTGATCAACGCTCCTGTGAGTAACCCTCACCCTGATAACTCATTCATTAACTAAACTAGACTTGAAAGATGTTTGCTGGTCTGTCATGGGTGCCTCAATGGATATCAATGAATAGATATTTGTTTGTGTCTCCTCAGGAAAAGTTCATAGTGCACAATTGATGTCTTGAACAGAATCCAGAAGAACCAAAGGTGAGCTGAGGTGGATGGCTCATTTTGTCCTTACAATCAGTGCTGTTGTACAGACGTGCCACTCTAGGTTAACTTCCAAAACTTGAAAGGTCCAATTAGTAAAGAGAAAACATACACATACATGAGATGTTGAACTGAAGACGACGCTGACTCAGAAGCTATGTCCCTACTGTCTAGCTTTCCTAGTGCTGGAAGGTGCTATCTACACCCCCAGAGGAGAAAAGGTACCATTCATCAGACCCAGATGAGAGCTACAATAATGACTGGCCCAGCAGACATACCCACAAGTGTAACAGTGGCAAGAACGACATCTAAGTAGCCAACTGCTTCATAATAGAGATTAATAGCTTCTCCACAAGATAAAACATATCTGGGCAAGAACTTAAGGATGGACAGATCACAAACACTAGGTGAGAATTAGTATTATTTCACTGTGCTAAATGGATATAATATTAAAAGACCTCCTAATGACTTATCATTATACCCATAGATTAAGGCATCAATCAACCCTTACCAGGGCTGCTCGTATTTTCAGTAGAAAATGATCAAAACAGATACCCACAATGGCCAGGATGCAGAGAATAAAGCACTGACGAACGTCTAGCCCTTGATGTAACATAAATACTTCTACCTTCAGGCCCAGGAGTGGCTGTGGAAGGGGATGAAAAGACCATAAAAGCCAGAAGTGGTTGATGACTACAAGAAAGCAGTGTCTTCAAGACACAGCGGGTCAGTTCATGTATGAGCTCACAGTGGTTGTGACAGCATGTGAAAGTCCTGTCAAGCCCAAGCCTGACCAAATTCCAGAAGGACAGGGGAGATGGGAATGTCAAGAATTAAGTAACATGAATCTTGTGTGGAAATAAGGTTGTGGTCAGAGGGGTGAGACAGGTTTTGTCTTGGAAACTAACATTGACTGGCATCTGCACAGGACCCCAATGTGTTGTGTGACATCAGTTCCGGCTGCATTTGTGGAGTCAGGGATCAGGAAATTCTCCTTCAAGGTTCTGCTGCACCCTAATTAGTGAGCTGCTTCTCCGTGTTCCCCTCAGTTTCCAAGCCCCATGTTCAACATACTTTATAATTTTAGGACTTTCTAGCCTTTTCTGCCAAGAAATGAAAGGCTAATGAGATTAAAAATAGCTGATAGGTTGATTTTCACTTTCAATTTACGAGAAATGCACATGCTTCTGAAAAGCAACCTCATCAATGCTCCTCTATGATTGGCCAACACACACTTAGAGGGGGGAGAAGATACCAAAATATGTAAGTCCTGCCCAGCTGCCTGTTAACTGCCGCCTTCCACAGAGGTTTCAAGGGGAGAGTCTGGAGCAGTGGAGTGGTTCCTGCAGCTGAATTACAGGCTGTGAATCCACTGGACACAGGTTTTCTGGTAAGTGGGCAGGAGCCTTTAGATCTAACTTTTTAAAAAACAATTTATTTAATTTTATGTGTGAAGGTGTCAGATCCCTTGGAATTGGGATTACAGACAGTTGTGAGCTGCCATTCGGGTGTCGAGAATTGCACCAGGGTCCTTTGGAAGAGCAGTCAGTGCTCTTAACCACTGAGCCATCTCTCTAGCTCCCAGATCTAACTTCTAAACTTCACCATCTCTTTTCTCTAAAGAGCTGATAGGTAACAAGACATTTAGAAACATGCCCAGACAGTGGAAATCCTCAGCCTGGAAGCAGGGGGGCTTTGGTGAGAGGTGGGCAGGACTTGCTTATTGATGGCCTTTGCTCATCATTCAAATTGAAGAACCTCAGAGAAATGACCTGGATAGTTTTTGTTTATTTGGTTGGTTGGATGGTTGGTTGTTGTTTGGTAAAACTTATCCAATTGATTTGCTTGCCTCTTATTCCACTCCCTACGATGGTGGTAATGGATGTGTTGTATAATAGAATATCTCTGCAGTATGTATGAGGTTTGTCGTATCTTGCTTCCTAGTTAGGGTCAACTATTTAATTGCTAACATTCCTGAGGACACTGGCCTGTGGAAAAGAGGTTTCTCTGCATGCTGCTTCTGCTGGAGCTGCCTGTAGAAATCTATGCCAGAAGGACCATGTTCACTGCAGTTTTATTTAATGGGAAGCATGAATGCTAAGGATCTTCTCTGCATCTGTGAGGAACATGAGCTGTGTCAGGGTGTAGTGACAGCTGTCATCTGGGCAGGCTTCCTTGTGTAAAGCTGGCTGTGTCACAGCCTTCTCATCTCCTGCGTTCGAATTCAGTAGAAAGTCCTTACTGACAGCTATTACACTGCAGTCTGCATAATAAAACCAGGAGCTAGAACTGAAATAACAAAAGGGGAAAACTGAAGAGATGAGAACAGCTTGTGTGCTTTCCTGAATCCTGCCAAAATAAAACAGGAACAGCAACAAGGCAAGGTAGCAGTCTCTAAGTACAAAGTCCTGAGATGAAAAGACAGCCCAAGATTACAAGATGACTGGAATTTAGATTCCAGTGACCCTAAAGGTATAATACAATAAAACTCAAAGGTTGTGTTATACATAGTGTGTGCAGTGTTTACCTAGTGAACTTGCCCTGTGTGGAATGGGGATCCTTGTGTTGCCCCTGAGAATTGACTTGACATGATATGACTTTGGTGTCAACAGGGTAACTTGGCCTGTTTGAACAACATCCATGTTTTTCAAGAATAGACACAGGTAATAAAGCAATGTCAATGACATATTCAAAGCTAAAATTGAGGAAGTCTTGAAGAAGGTAATGTAGGAAGAATGACCAGTTGTGAGTGGATTTAGAAATAGAACTTAAGTTTGTGAACTGACTTGATATTGCTGAAACAGAAAGAGGAGGCCCCAAGAAGACAGCAAGGGTTTATTGTTTCCTTAATGATGATGAAGTCCATTGTGCTGTCATAGGAGGTCTTGTAGGCAGATATGTCAAGAATAAAGGGCAGAAATAAGAGATCCGAGCTAATTAAATACCCAGCCAAAAAAAAACTTAGGTCCTTAGGTCTGGCAACAAGTGTATTTACCTGTTGAGCCATCTTGCTGGACTTCAAATTTATTCTTTTTATGACATGATTTTAAGTGGCCCATTCTAGCCTCTAATTCACTGTGTACCAACGAGGATCTTGAAGTCCTGACTTTCCTAGCTCAATGTCCTGAGTGACAGAATTATAGGGAGCCACAACCACATGCCCTTGATGAGGTGTTGGGGATTGAACTGAAGACCTTATTCATGCTGAAAAAGCACTCTTCCAATTGAAGTATATCTATAAGGCACATACAGATTATTTAAATGAAATAAAAAGTTTAAAAGAAAACACTGGATCTAAATGATGACTTGCAAGGCTAGAGAGATGGCTCAGAGGTTAAGAGCACTTGGCTGTTCTTCCAAAAGTCCTGAGTTCAATTCCCAGCAACCACATGGTAGTTCATAACCATCTATAATGAGTCTGGTGCCCTCTTCTGTTGTGTAGGCAGAATACTGTATAAATAATAAATAAATATTTTTTAAAAATAAATGATGACTTGAAGACAACAAAATATCGTATTGAATAAATGAATTTGAACATGGACTTTAAAGGTAAAGATGTTTTCTAATATTGCAAGTTTATATTCCTCATAGAGATGAGATCCAATTCGATCTCTTACAACTTACTCTCTTTTCCTTCTTTTAGTGACTCTTTGCTCACAGTCATGGGTCAGCTCCTCTCTGGTACACCTAAGCATGAAGACCTTGGAAATTTGTTATCCTGCTTCATTGACTGTTTTAAGACATATGAGCCAGAAAACAAAATCATTTCTCAGGACATCATCCAATCAATTGAGTTTCACCTGCAAACAGGAAACAATAGGGAGATAAGCTCTGTAATTAGTGAAGCATTAGAAAACATTGATAATGCCCCAATAAATATTGCTGTGACAGGAATGTCTGGAGTAGGGAAGTCTAGTTTAATCAATGCCCTCAGGGGAGTTGGAGCTGAGGAGAAAGGTGCTGCTGAAACAGGGGTGGTAGAGACAACCATGAAGAGAACTCCTTACAAACACCCCAAAATTAAAACTTTGACTTTATGGGACCTGCCTGGTATTGGAAGCCAGAAATTTCCACCAAGTGATTTTCTGGAGAAAGTAAAATTCCAAGAATATGACTTCTTCATTATCGTTTCTGCCTCTCGTTTTTCACAACTTGACCTAGACCTAGCCAAAGAAATAGAACGTATGGGAAAGAATTACTATTTTGTGAGAACCAAGGTGGATTTTGATTTAGAAAATGAAAAGAAGAGCAAACCAAGTACTTTTAACAGAGAAAATATCATGGAGCAGATCCGGAGCTACTCTGTGAATACCTTCAGTGACTATGGCATGAATGCACCTCAGATTTTCTTGATCTCTAACTACAATTTATCTGACTATGATTTTCCACTCCTGATGGACACCCTGATTAAGGATCTTCCTGTTCAGAAGCGCCATAATTTTATGCTTTCCTTGCCTAATGTTACAGAGGCAGCCATTGAAAAAAAGCACAAGTCTATGCAGCAGTTTCTCTGCCTGAAAGCCATGAAGGATCAACTTTTATCGGGTGTTCCTATAGGGGGCATGTTCAGAGACAGTTATGTGGAAAAGCAGAAGATTTTAAACCTCTGTCGATACCACTTTGGAGTGGATGATGAATCCCTGAAGCTAAAAGCTATGTATCCACAAGTGTCTAGTGAACAACTGAAAAGTAAACTTAAATCTCCTTCTTCGGAAATTAAGAAAGAGGAAGAGAACATTGAGAAAGAGGAAAATGTTTTTATGAAGTTTTGGAAATTTTTGAAGACTATTTTAGATATCCTCCACAAAGTGGTTGAATATGCAAAAGTTATCTTTAGACAGATGTGTTCAAAAATGTAGCTCAAACTCAACTCACCCACAGCTATTGAGAATTACAAAACCAAATAATTAATATTAGTAAGTAAATAAATTCCACTTCTTTACACTAGCTAATCAACTGCCACCATGGGAAAACCTAAGGATAAAGTTCATAAGTATTAATATGTAAGAAGCTGACAATCCCAAATCCCTCTTCAATTCTCTACAATCCCCAAGAGGAGCTTCCTCTCCATCTTTTTTTTAAATTTGTTTATTTTTATGAATTATACTTTATTCACTTTGTATCCCCCCATAAGGCCCTCCCTCCTCCCCTCCCAGTCCCATCCTCCCTCCCCCTTCTTCACACATGCCCCTCTCCAAGTCCACTGATAGGGGAGGTCCTCCTCTCCTTCCTTCTGATCTTAGTCTATCAAGTCACATCAAGAGTGGCTGCATTGTCATCTTCTGTGGCCTGGTAAGGCTACTTTCCCCTCAGGGGGAGGTGATCAAAGAACAGGCCAATCAGATTATGTCAGAGGCATTCCCTCTTTCCATTACTATGTAACCCACTTGGGCACTAAACTGCCATGGGCTACATCTGTGCAGGGGTTGTAGGTTATCTCCATGAATAGTACTTGGTTGGAGTATGAGTCTCTGGGAAGACCCCTGTGTTCAAATTTTCTGGTTCTGTTGCTCTCCTTGTGGGGTTCCTGTCCTCTCCAGATCTTACTATTTCCCACTTCTTACATAAGATTCCCTGCACATTGCCTAACAGTTGGCCATAAGTCTCAGCGTCTGCTTTGATAGTCTGCAGGTTACAGCCTTTCAGAGGTCCTATGTGGCAGGTTCCTAGGTTGTTTCCTGCTTTCTTCTTCTTATGATGTCCTTCCTCTTTGCCTTTCAGGATGGGGATTGAGCATTTTAGTCAGGGTCCTCTCTCTTGATTAGTTTCTTTAGATATACAGGTTTGTCCTATGTTATATGTCTATATGAGTGAGTATATACCATGTGTGTCGTTCTGCTTCTGGGACAGCTCATTCAGGATTATCCTTTCCAGGTCCTACCATTTACCTGCAAATTTCATGATTTCCTTATTTTTCATTGCAGAGTAGTACTCCATTGTGTAGATGTGCCACAATTTCTGCATCCATTCTTCAGTTGAGGGGCATCTGGGCTGTTTCCAGTTTCTGGCTATTACAAATAAAGCTGCTACAAACATGGTTGAGCAAATGTCCTTATTGTGTACTTGAGCCTCTTTTGGATATATGCCTAGGAGTGGTATGTCTGGATCTTGAGAAAGCGCTATTCCTAGTTGTCCGAGAAAGCACCAGATTGATTTCCAGAGTGGTTGTACAAGTTTGCATTCCCACCAGCAGTGGAGGAGGGTTCCCCATTCTCCACAATCTCTTCAGCATGTGTTGTCATGTTTTTCATCTTGGCCATTCTGATGGTTGTAAGGTTAAATCTCAGTGTTGTTTTGATTTCCATTTCCCTAATGGCTAATGACATTGAGCATGTAGAGGAATAGCGAATGGTAGAGAAACACTTAAAGAAATGCTCAACGTCATTAGCCTCTTCATCTTTCAACTCCATATGTATGCTTGAATACACACACAGACACACACACACCTGAACATTACTTCTCATTTAGGGCTCTAACACAGCCTTCAATAAACATGTGTTAGAGAGTGATTAGTATGGCTTCTAAATTTTATCAATGGGAAGACTTTAAAACAAAGACAAAAAAAAAACAAAACTGTAACTACCGATCACAAGTTTGTTATTAACCAATAAAATCCTGAAAAATATCTGAATCCTTCTTGAGACAATAAAGAACATCTATAATTTTGTGCCACAACCAGAAGAGAACTCCG